CCCCCCCCCCCCAGGCAGCGCACTGTCTTTCCCCCCAGAACACGGCCAATTGCCCAGTAGTCTGCAGTTTCACACTCGTTTGATCATCTGATCAGTGCCCATCTCCCATGTGGACCATAAGCTTTGGGAAGCCAGCAACTGTGTCTCTTTTCCACTGTTTGCATCCTCAGGTCCAGCAGGTGCCGAGTGGATGAGTGAATGGGTTCTTCCACATAAAGGGTCTCGTTTGCTTTTCATACCAACCTTAAAAGATGGTGCTATTTTCAACCTCACTTTTCTGATGTGGAAACAGTGGCTTAAGAGGGGGGATGATGGCTGACCCAGCATCAGGTCACTGGAGACTGAGTTGGAGTTCTTAAGAGCCAACTGTCCAAAGTGCAGATTTGAACACAATTTACTTTGTTAGTCTGGCTAATTGGTCCTGGACACTAATGTTTTAAATGGCCATTTAGCTCCAGATTCTAGCTTTCTGTTTATTGTGAGCAAAGTTCTATGTTGAACCTGTAGGGGGAGCAGTGGCCTTGATAAGATCATCTGGAGGTAGGGGTGTCTGTTGGCCAGGGTAGGAGGGATCAAGACTTCTCCCCTTACATGTTTAATGAAAACGGACAAGAAAAGACCGACTAAATGTGCAGTCCAGGGCTTCTCAAGATGACCGCTCTGGCTGAGTTCACTGCTGGGATTTAATCGATGTTCACCAATAGCAGAAACCCACTTCACTCCACTCCACTCCCTAGGAAGTGCTCATACCACTCCGTGTGGCCACCCCAGCCCTCATGAGAAGTCCAGACAGAATTGCTGTGCCCAGCACAGGATCCCCAAGAAGGCACAGGGTGCCACAGCCCTCTCCACGAAACCCTTTCCCCTTCAAAGTAACTGCGAGGGAGGTGGAGGAAAGTAGGACAGGAGGGCTGGAGGGCAGGTGTGCTCTGACTTCTCTGGGTGGGGAGGCCCTGGAGAGCCCCAGAACCGGGAGGGAGGAGCCTGTGAAAACCTCCATGTGACCCACACGACCTTGACCTTCAGAGCTCAGGCTTCAGACAGAACTCCAGGAACACCCCAACCCTCCGTGCTCCCAGATGTGAGCAACGCATGAGGCTCTGGCTCACTACCTGTGCTAGATGTTCACTCGGTAAAAACTCTGTGGAGGAGAGACCATTGTCCGTCCGTCCTTCCTTGTTTACACCTCGCCCCCTTCCAGAGCGTTGAAGCAACATAAACTCAAAGACCCACGTGAGGTGGGGCAGTGGACAGGACAAGGCCACCGTGCCAGGGGCAGGGTCAGACTCAGATGCCTCGGGTCCGGCCCCCCAGACTCACTCCCTGGGCCCACCCAAGTGGAGCTCCCCTACTAGAAGCCTGTCTTGTCATTTTGTCACCTGTTAGCTTATGGGAATTAGAATGTGCAAATGGTTGGTGGTTGTTTTACTGGTTATAAATGTAATAAGTGGTCATCTGAATGCTGGATATAAAGATAGAAACACAGTTGCCCGAGGTGAGTGCTATTGGTGCTGGGAGTGTGTCCCTTTCCCTTGGGTTCTCTTGCTGTTGTGCCTCTCACTGAGCAGGGCCAACAGGGGCAGGCAGTGTCAGCTGCTGCATCTTCCCCTCCAGTCCCTTCAGTGTCCTCATGGGGACAATTCTTCCTCCAACTCAGGATTAATACGCAGGCCAGTTCCCATGAACTTGGCCCCTCCTAGGTAACGAAAGGTGCCACATCCACTTTTTATATTTAAATCTTTAAGCATTGTGGTAAAATATACATTGTTTTGGCCCTGAACATAAATTGAGTTCCTAGCTGCAGATATGTGTTAGCCATGCATGCTGGTCATCTACCTTCTAGAACTTTCCTACTAATAGGAAGTTCGTCAACTCTCACAATGCTGAGGCTATTTCTGTGAGTCAGGTCCCACTACTCTGCTTGTTCAGCCCATTTTGTTAATGTAGACAGATTTCAATTACTGCCCGTGGTAGCCATCCCCGGACAGTTGCATATTCTAGTTTGGTGTTTGGCACCAGCATGTGTCATCATCAGTTACCATTCTGAGTGTGCAGACTCAGGTTAATGTGAGTCTCCCAGAAACATCCTTTAGAGAGCGATTTGAGTGCCAAACCTGCCACCAACTGAGTCATAATTAATGTCAAAGCTTATTTGATACTTTCTGCCCTTCGCCTCACTATCACCTGTAATGGAGGGTGAGTTGGACTGGGTGCAGAGTTCTACAAGAACAAAGAAGACAGCCCTCCTGAGCAGGGCCTCCTGACACCCAGGTGGCAGTTCAGCACCTCTCATTTAGCCAGTGAGCAGTGCACACCACTTAGCTGTCAAGCCCTCAGCCCCTCAAGTTGGAAGGAGAACATGTTTTACTGTACTTGTGTTGTTTGCAGTGAAAATAGACAGGAAGCTGACATATGATTAGGCCTGTATCTCCAGGGTGGAGGCCCAAATGAAGACAGAATGAAATAAACTCCTCCTGAATTTATCCAAATTGTTTACAAATACCTGAGAGTTGTTCTCCAGAAATTGAATGAACTATGTGATCTCTGAACAAAAGGAGCACAGTAAATTCTTCCTGATGATAATGATGGTGGTGGTGATGATGATGATGGTAGTGATGAAGATGGTGATAGTGATAATGATAGTGATGACAAAGATGATGATGGTGATGATGATAGTGATGAAGAAAGTGAAGATGATGGCAGTGGTGGCGATGGTGGTGATGGTGACAATGGTGGTGATGGTGGTGGTAATGATGTTGATGGCGGTGATGATGGTAATGATGGTGGTGGCGGTGATGGTGGTGATGATGGTAATGATGGTGATGGTGGTGGTGATGGTAATGATGGTGATGGCGGTGATGGTGATGGTGGTGGTGGTGATGGTGACGATGGTGATGGTAATGGTGATGGCAGTGGTGATGGTAATGATGGTGGCGGTGGTGATGGTGGTGGTGATGGTGATGATGGTGATGGTGACGATGGTGATGGTAATGGTGATGGCAGTGGTGATGGTAATGATGGTGGCGGTGNGTGATGGTGGTGGTGATGGTGACGATGGTGATGGTAATGGTGATGGCAGTGGTGATGGTAATGATGGTGGCGGTGGTGATGGTGGTGGTGATGGTGATGATGGTGATGATGATGGCGGTGGTGGTGGTGATGGTGGTGCTGATGATGGTGGCAGTGGTGGTGGTGATGATGGTGATGGCAGTGTTGATGGTGGTGATTAGTGTAACTCTATTCTTTAGAATGTGAAAATGCCTGTCTTTCACTCTCAAGTTTGAAGGATATGTCACTGGGTGTACACCTCTGAGCTAAACACTTTTTGAACACTTCAAATATGTCATTCATCTGCATGTTATCAAATATGTCATTCTTGTGAGACATTCGATGTCTTTTGGCCTCCAGTTTCTTAAGAAGTCAGCTCCTGCTCGACCGTTTCTGTCAGTAATGTGTCCTTTGCCTCTGGCTGCTGAGATACCATCCTCATGTTTGTCCTTAGTGTTTTGACTGTAAGAGCTCTTGTGTGCCTCTCTCGCATTTATTCTTGGAGTGGACTGAGTGTCCTGAATCTCTGTGTTCTCCAACTTGGGGAAATTTGGGGAGCTTGCTTTTTTTTGGCCCATCCTGTTTTCTTTTGCTCTTGGACTCCAGTTACAGTGTCATGCCTGGTACCCCTGCAGGTAACTGGGTTCTGTTCCATCCTCCAGTCCATGTCACTGTCCTCCAGGTCACAGTGCTACCTGTCTCCACATTCAGGAACCCTTTCTTCCCCGCCGTCCACACTCCCTTAAGCCTGTGCAGTGAGGTCCCACATGTCAAAGGCTGTACATTTCACTCACCGGCTTTCCCTCCTTTGTGTCATGTTTATAGCAGCTCCTTGTCTTTGTCCCTCACTCTCATATTGGCTCCTTTGGTCTTCATTGCATGTCACATTTTTCTGATTCTCACATGTCTATTGCTTTTGCTGCCCACTGGACACTATGTGGGGGTTTGAGAATGTGTCACCTCCCCCTAAACAGTGTTGAGTTGTCATCTTTTTCTGGAAGCAGTCAAATTCTTAGAGGATCCTTATGATTCGAGTCCTATCAGGACAGGTTTTATATTTTGTTTGAGTTGGTTTATTTTGGTGGCTTTTCTGCATTTCCAGGAAATGTTGGAGTTCAGCAAGGTTTCTGCTGTGGGAACCTTAGTGACCTTCAACCTCTACACAAATGGCCCCACCCTCTGCTCAGCCTCCAGGGGTTGCCCTGCACGTGGGCAGCCATCCCTTGTCCAGGGACCCATGGGGACCTGCACACAGATTTTTGGGCACCTCTCTGCACAGCTCCCATAGAGTGCTCCGTTCCTCAATTCTAGTCACCTCACCAGCCCCCAGCCCCGAGCTCTGGGGATTGTCCTGCCCCTCCTTCTATCTGGCAAGTAAGGCACCTCACATGCCTCCCTTCCTCAGTGCTCACAGGTGGCTCAGCCTGCATCTCAGTGTTGGAAAACTGTTGCCACGTCTGTCTTGTCCATTTCATAGTTGCATGTCTTGGGAGATAAGCCTGTTACTTCACCCAGATTGTGTCCCTAAATCCACAGAAGAAACCCTAGCTGTAGACAGAAGGCAGGAGCAATTCCGTGTGGACAGAGGTGCGAGGACTCCCTTCTCTCAACCATCCCCATCTCTCCCGCCTTTGCCCCAGAGCCCCCGTGGTTCAGCCCAGGACTCTCCTCACTCATCATATTCCTTCTGCACAGTTTGTTTATTTCTCTGTTTATTTGTTTGACCATGAAAATGTATTTTATATTCAGAGTAACCAGTCAGAATGCTACCAACCACTTAGGAGAAGTGCCGAAGGGGCACCCCCCCCCCCGAAGGAAATTATTCTATTGTATTTTCTAAGATAATAAAAGTAATGCCCTTCATGGTCAAGTGAATAGATGAGCAAACCACACAGACACTCCCTGACGGGGTCGCATGCATGTGGCAAAGACCTCCCACCCCGTGGCCCCACACCCTCCTCATCGCCGGGGTCCCAGTCTTCCTGCACCCGTCGAAGACTCGCCCACCACTTGCAGGCACAGCTTACATTTCAGGGGTCTTTTTGGAAAAGAGACTTTCTTACCCTTGTTTGGTGCTGTCATCTCCAATCTGTGTTGTCCACTAGACAGCTGGTGCCTTCCTTGCAAAGACAAAGGTGGAAGCTGCAAGGGAGACATCACCGGCACTGGTCCTGCCCCCCCCAACCCCTGCCTCCCTGGCCCCAACAGAACAGCGTGAGCCCCTTTGCCCCCAAAACAGTAATTTCTCCTTATTACCTGCCTTCCGGCAGAAGTGTGAGGAGGGAGCTTTGCAGCTGACCCTGCGTCTTGCACTGTTTCAAGGAGAAACATCTGAGTTTCATGCTGATGCATAAATCACCCTCCGACACAGCACGTGTGAAACTTGTGGCTGCGTGTGTTGTACAGATTCCACACTGGCCACGGTGCTGAGTTCACACGGGCTTCCCTGGCCAGCGCAGGCAGGAAGGGACGTGGGAAGAGGGATGACGTCGGTGTTCATGTGTTGCTGTCACAGTCAGGGTACCCTGGGCACTGGGCTCGCAGGTTAGACTTCGTATCTTTCTTGCAGGCAAGAGGGGAAAAGGCTCATTATCATTTCTTTACGGACTAAAGACAGATGAAGCTGCTCAGCCTCCCTTTTCCTGGCTCGTAACTCCAGCTATCTTACCCAAGGTCCTGTTTCCCATCCTAATCGGCCCACGTGTCTGCTCACAGTTCCTCCGTGGGTCCCCTGTCCATCGCTACTCTTTAAAGACTGAGCCATGGTAGTGGTTAGAGGGTCACGTGTGATTCAGATTCAACAAACATAAGTATTTAGGAACACCGCCTGTGCCTGTCACTGGTGGGAGGGTTGTCGCTCAGGCTCCAGACACGTCAGTTTATCTGCATTTGTGTATGTGCCTCTAGGAGCACGTGTGCAGAATCTCCTGAAGGACCCAAGACAACACCACGTTGATGAGGAGACGCTGGGCCCCCTGGACCTCGACGAAGTGGCCCGTGTGACTGCTGGCACCGTGCACGGTGTGGGCACAGCGGGGGAGTGGGATCCCTGGAGAGGAGCTGGAGGGAAGCCAGGGGAGCCGGCAGGCAGCTCAGAAGCAGCTCTGTTCAAAGTCAGCGACGAGCGCGGGGACAGCATTCAAGGTGAGCGCCCAGGTCCTGGTCTTTCACACTGGTGGAAGGGAAACACCAGGCTGCAGAGCAGCGGGAAGCCAGCTCCCGAGCTGCAGTGCATCCTCTCTGCAGGGGGCGGGGGCTTGTATCCGTGAGTTTGGCTGAAAGCTTTTTTGGCAGGCGGCCCGCCAGAGCCATCATGTCGAAAGGCAAACTGCTGTCTGTGAGAGACGGAATTCCTGTGCTGAGATTCAGAGACAGCGGAAACTAGACAGAAAGTGTTTTTGGATTGTGTGTGAGGGATCGTCATCAAATATTTGACTAATAAAGTGAAAGGGGTTCATTTGAATGTCTACCTGAGGCTGCTCCAGGGAAAGAGCAGAGGTCCTCTGACTCCAACACACATACACATGCATGCACACACGCGTCACACAAACTCATGAATGTGTGCACATGCACACACATGCACACACACATTTGCACAGAGTGCATATACACATGCACCATGTGCATACATGCACATACTCACACACACCCCACAGCCGCCTGACCCGTGGGTGGACTTGGGCTCCCCTGACAACTGGCCTTCTCTGTGCCTTATTGCTTCTCAGAGTTGGAGCTACATTGAAGCATGCACACAGTAGGTGCACAAAGAGCATGTGCCAGAAGCACAGGTGGAGGGTGCATGTCTGTCTCTGTGTGTTGGGACAGAGGCTGGCATGGAAGCTGGCATGTCGCTCGACTCGAAGCGAGAACGTAGGAATAGGTACCAGCTCCACCAGGACAAGGTGTTTGCGAGGCAGTCAGTGATCAAGAGGACTCCCACCCACCCTGAGGGCTGGAGGGTCTGGAAGGTGCCTGGGTGGGGTGGTTGTGTTCAGGAGGGCAAGGTGAGTGGTGCTCCTAGTGTATCGCAGGCAGGGTGTTGGTTTCGGGAAGCGGCCGCCACAGAGAAACAGCTGTCAGTGCATTCAAGAGACACCTTCACAAGAAGGCTCAGGTCAGACGCTTCACTGCCCTTTTTCATGACTACTCACTGTGCTGGCGCCATGGCTGTTTCCTGTGTGAGCTGACACTCGGGAAACACGCAGGTCCAGGAACTAGAGTGTGCTTCCGACTGGCTTCACATTTACTGTTTAGCCAGAGCCCCTCCTCTTCCATGCAGTTTATAGAGTTTAACAGGAAGAGGTACTTTCTAGTAGAAATGAGGATGGTGACATCATGCCGAGAAGGCCCCTCGGTGGCTACGACACCCATGATGACATCCCAACCAGGACTTGGATAACGCCCCTGTCTCCCACAGGCACCAGAGTGCAGGACAGCCATGCTCGAGTTCACGGAGAGGTAAGATGCACGCCTCTGCACGTTGCCTCATGCTGAACCCAGCGCTCTACTGGTCTTCGTTTCGTTCATGGCTGGGGAATGTTCATGAAATACAAAATTTTGTTTCGCTTTGATTTTCAAGGAAAGGGTGGGAAACCCTCATAATTCCAAAATTTAGAAAAGTGTAAACAGTACATGCAAAATTGTGCATGTTTAGATACATACTAATATCTGTTTTCCGATTTTATAGTAATATTGATCCATTGTAGAAATATGAAAAAATGGTGAATAAAAGAAGAAAATTAACATTCCTTGGAATTTCCCCACCCAAGGGTGTGGATGGTAACATGATACCACCTTGTTATAGGTGAGACTGTCCCGTGTGCTGATCTCCAAGGTTCATTTAACAGGGACGTTGACAGGCTCTGGATCATTGCACCTGCACCACTCAGTGTGGCAGCCACAAGCCACGTGCGGCTGATTGAACTTAAATTCATTAAAATTAAGGAAAAATCCCATTTTCAGCTGTGCTCACCACATTTCAAGTGGCCTTAGTAACACGTGGGTTGTGTGGCTCAGAAACAGATCCTCTCTGTCCTGTGAGAAGGGAATTTGGAAAGGGGTTTAGACACAGTTAACACCTCACTGAGGGGCTTGTTGGTTTTTCCTACGTAAGACCCTTTGCTCATTAGTACAGGTCTTAAGGGTGCAGAAAAGAAACTCGTAAGCAACGACAATGGCTTACATGGCTATATGACTCAGTTGTGGTGGTGTGGAAAAAAGAACTGTGGTTAGAACTTCTCTTGCCCATTTATCCGAGTGGTTAGGGGTAGGGGTAGGGTTACTTAATAAGTTTTCTCACACAACACCATTGCAGTGAGAATACCATTTCCCTCCCCTCAAAGGCCCGAGGATGTGCCTTTTTGATCCTGATACGCTTCCTCCGTTTGGTTGAAAATTTCTCATCTAGATGTGATTCTAAACATGGGCTGCAAATGCTTTGCACTTGTTAACTCTCCGTTTCCAGTGGCCTGTCATTATCCCATGTGATGACCTCGTCACAAATGTCCCTTCGTTGTTAGACGTCATCTCATGTGAATTTCTTTCCCACTAGGTCAACCTTGCGAGCCTTGGCCTTGGGGACATCCTGCAGGACCCTGGGTCTCGACTCCCACTGGGAGCCCCACCTGCTGTGGAGACCAAGAAATCAGAGGACCCCGAAGCCTCCTTGTCTTCCGAGGAGGACACTGCCGGCGTGGAAAATGTGAAGAGTCAGACCTACTCCAAAGAGCTGTTGGGGAGGCTGCCGCATATGGAGTCCCAGGTTGACGGATTCGGGGAGTTCCCACACTGGGTCCCCGGGCCCTCGCGGGAGGACTCGCGCCTCAGAGCAGGAGCTCGGAGCGGCCCCAATGAGGGCTTGCGGCTGGAGGTCAAGTCTCCCGAAGAGGAGCACGGCTACATCGTGACAGACCATGAGTGAGTAGAGCTCTGGTCTTTTTTCCGTGACCCACCGAGTGGTTGTGTAGTTTCTGTCTTGCTTGTCTGGTAGGTCCCTGGAAGCACCTCCCGTCAAAACAGTCTAACAGTGGCATTCACGTGCTGCTGAGCTTCCAAACGGGAACGTGTTAGAGGAGACACTGCCTGGCTTCTGAAATCCTCCCATCACCAGATGCCGGGCCGGCAGTGAGGCGCCCTCCAAACACCCAGCTCTGACCCGCGCCACTAAGTGCTCATGTCTCTCTTTCCGCGGCAGTACTGGGCGTCAGGTGATGGGGGTGACAGCTGTCACAGGCAGACAGATGAAACTGCACAGGTCTGATCCATCCATTGATTTTGGAGATTAACTCCAACTGCTTCCTAAGGAAGTTCAGGCCACAAAATGACAGATGATGGCCATGTATTTTAAAAATAAAATAGAAATAACTGCATGCTCGTTTTTAGCACAATGAGCACCATCCATTTGTCCAACTCTCTGCCTGGAGTCCTGACAGCCTGTGACGGTGAGGGGGGAAGGGCCAATGGCTCGCACCGTGCCGCAGATGTAACCTTGGTACGCGGCCTAAGGTCCCAGCGTGTGAGTTCTCAGTGGTACAGTTCAACCCACAGCAACACTTTCAGTTTCACTCATTGATGACTTTCTGCCTGTGTCCTCACTAAGCAGGGGCTCGGTCTTTGTTTCCCTTTCCCAAGTCAGCGCTGGGCCCCCTGGGCATTCTTACACCTGCTGAAGGAGTGAGGAAGGACGGAAGGACAGTCGCTAGGATGAAACTGGGCTGTGCAGTGTTTATATCACCATCCAACTGAATGTGCCTTCAAGGTGTCCCTAGCAGCCCCTCCCAGGCAACGTGTGATTCACAGAACTGGGTGCTGGGATTTGGGATTTGTCACTGGAACATTGAACAACCTCTTTACGTGGTGCTGCTGTGCTGGGGGGTCATCCTGGAATGTACACCCCCTTTCAGTGAGCCCCTGCAGGTGGGTCGTCCACCGCGCCATTGCCTACCCTTTCAGGGGCACTTAAACACCTTCTCATTGCCCTGTGACTCATTTTAGAAATGAATCCATTTAAAAATGTGTCTCCTTTGTCCACTTGCCTTCCCACCTGAGGTCTGCTTTTCAGCATCTGCTTCTGTCCCCTCCCCTCACCCCTTCGTATTATGTTTTTATTGAGGCTGAGATGAGCCCGCTGCTGCATCTCTGGCCCCTTTCATGTCCTGACAATCCCATTTGCACTGAACTGTTTGTCTTATTGCCGGAAAATCCAGGTGATTCATGGTGGCTGAAGAAGCCCCTGATGCCTGTGGCCTGAGCTGGTCACTGTGACAGGAATACAGCAGGGGCAGCTGTCAGAGCCCCAGGCGGGTGGGAGCATGTGGGGCCCTCAGCTCCTCAGGTGTTGACGAGCTAGTTCCCTATGGCGACACTGCCCCCTCTGTTCCTCCACAGCCCCCTGAGCCTGGAGAAAGGGAAGGAGTTGCTGGAGGACATCACACGTCTGCTCGAGATGCCGACCAACATCGTTGCAGACACCGAGTGAGTGTGGGCACAGGCCTTCGGGGTTTATTCTCAGCCATAGCAGGTTCCACTTCATAAATTGGTTTGCGAGGGAGAGACCTGTGTGCCTGTGGTTCCTGTCAATTACACCAGCAAGAAACTGTTTCGGGAAGAAATGAAAGGAAAATTCCAGTGGGGTTGGTGAGTTATTTAAACACAGCTGTAACCTGAGTGTAATTATAGGAATTATAATCAGCAGGAGCGGGGCCCACCGGGCCATGGCTCCCAGCCCTGCGGCTCCTAGAATCACCCAGGAGGCTCCGGAATGTTCTGCCCTCACCCGCCCCTCTGCACGCGAGTCAGAGCCTTGGGGGTGGCACGTGCCAGGGAAGCCTCAGTCAGCACCTAGTGGGCCTGCAGGGTGCCGGGCCCTGTTGTGTTTCAGTGACATAAGGGTGGAGGGGCGCAGGCATGCTGCCAGGTCACGTGAGGGCTGCCTCTTCCTATTTCTTGGCAAATGTGGGGAGCACTGAGGACAAGCATCGCATAAAGGAAACCTGTGAGTGGGGCCACCGAGTGCAGGTGTAGACAGCGACAGGCCCAGCCCAGAGAGCCTGAGCGTGGGCAGAGCCAACAGCGGCAAGCGTTGCTGAGGACTAAAAGTAAAGCTGAACTGGGCTCACGTCCACAGGAACCTGGACGTGGAACATCACCATGGCCTGCAGACGCTCAGGTATCCCTGTGGTTCACAGGCAGGTGTTTACTGAGCACCTGCTGTGACCTGGCCATGTGCCAGGAGCTGGGGTCCTGCAGGGGTGACACCGCCCTGCACAGATATCTCACCATTTCTGGGAAAGGCAGACCATGTGCAAGCAGCTAGTGTGGAGGGCCCAGGAGACATGAGTGGGGAAGCACCTCACCCAGCCCGGGGCCCGGAAGCTTCTGGACGAGGAGGGCTGAAGGACAGGTCGCAGACAGGTGCCCAGCATGGAGTGTGGGGCCCACACAGCGAGCATGGATCTTTCCTGGGAGGGCCCAGAGACGCTGTGTATTCATCTCACCTGCGTGCATACACCTGGTGCACAGAGGGGGCTGTGCAGGTGAGGAGTGCTGAGCAAGGGAGAGAAGGCAGACTGTGTGCTCAGCAGGGCCCAGAAGAGGGGCTGGGGCAGGTCGGTGGTGAGGAGGGGCCCTCCCCGTTCGGGCAGGATAGGAGCTAAGGGAGGAGGACCTGGTGTGAGGCGCCTGCCCAGGAGGCAGAGCAGGATGGACACAG